GTTCTTAACCTGAAACTGTTCTTAACCTGAGGTACCACTTTAGCTAATGGGGCCTCCCGCTGCCTTGCGCCGCCGCTGCATAATTTCTGTTCTCATCCTGAAGCAAAGTTGTTAACCCAAGGTACTATTTCTGGGTTAGCGGAGTCTGTAACCTGAAGAGTCTGTAACCTAAAACGCCTGTAACCCGAGGTACCACTGTATGGTGAAATTCTAACAAATTCACACATTCAATGCCTATCCCACTCAGAATTCCCCCAAAACAGCAACTTCATTTTGCATATGTGTTCATAACAAGAACAACTCCCAAAAGGGAACTATCCCCATGGATGAATACTACTGATGGGTTACTTCTGAGAAAAGAAGCATATTGAGATATTCTTTAATCCTAACAGATCAAATGAATATCTTGAATTACACCAGTTGATGTGATTCCTGATTATTTACTGCTGTAATCCTTTCCCCTTCTTCAAATTGCTTAAGGGACTTAACAGATCTGATTGAATTTCACTTAGAGACTCCTCTTGACTAGGGATGCTGGAGAAATCTGTTGAAAATGGGCTATCAAACAGCTACTGCATGTTATATGTAAATAGATCTGCACATTGCTTTGCAATGTGCATTATTTACATATTAAGGAGGTAAAATTGTTCCTCTCTTGATATTGTGTGTCTGTAAGTTGCTCAGTAAGAAAGATATAGTGTGCTCCCTCTTTTACAATTTAGTCTTGAAAATGCTGAAGAAAAATGTGTGAATGTTGTACACATACTGTATGCCCCATCTAAAATTTCTATAGATGCTTCAAAAACCCAGACTGTAAGTGAGTTTATAGGGTGGAGTGAGATTTGCGCCTACACCTTCCAAGTTTTCCACACCCACTCTTAAATTTTATACTACCCCAGGCATGTTTTCCATGTGGAAATCTGTCTCTGCAAGTATATAGATTTTGAATGCAGTATCTCATTTTTAATCATGTCCTGGTGGCATACACAAGAATATAAACTTCCCATTAAGGCTTTGCACAAAAGTGCATTGGAATAATATTTCAGTTTCAGTAACTAGCTTTTCACAGAATTCTATCAGCAAATGTTATCAGGTTGGAAGCTGGTTTGACTTGAACAATGGCACGCATTGGACAATGCAGCAATCAACTCTGACATTTTGCTAACTTGGCTATGTAAGTTTCAAAACAGAAATGGACTGGATTGGCCTTCAAGAAAGTTTTGTTGGAAAAAATGTGTCGTAAGCTTCAGTTTTCATTTCTTCACATTTCAGGTGTCATTTTAAATCATTGGTGCCAATTCCAGGGGGCCCTGTGGGTCTGGGAGCCCATAATTTTTGTTGTTGTGGGTGCCTGGCCTCTGCCCCCCGCCACTGCCACCACGCACCGCCAGCTGCCGGCTGCCATCTTATTTCTGGCACTCTGTGATTCTGGGATGCATCTGCAGCCATAGCGGGTCCTAACAGAGGCCCTGGGGTGCAGGTGCAGTCGCAGGCCCAGTGGTTGCGCCGCCGCCGGATGTCATGATATTGTAGTGTGGTGCCACACTGAGCACCCACAGTCTGGGGCCCAAGTCAGCACTGCTGGATCATGCCATGTCTCCAATAATCACCTCTCATTTCACTATAGAAGATGCTCTATATAATTAGATAAAAAGTATTGTGTTTGTGCCAACTCACTTTGGGTTCCACTCCCAAGCTGGTTACAGAGAAAGTCTTTTGCTCAATAAAGCAGAGTTTTCCCTGCACAACTCCCTCCCAGTTGGTAAGAGAAGGAAGAAAGGGAGCAAACCCTGATTACAGCTTCTAGGTATATTCCCATCCTCTGCCCTGTTGGCAGATCTTTTGATGAGGAGGAACAACCTTTCCTCCTTTTTCCTTAGAAGCATGCTCTTGGGGCAGTGAGGACCGAAAGCTCTGTTAACCCTAATTGTGTCTGTCTAATCTGCAATGCTTTTCTGTATGACAAGCAGAGCCCTATTCCACCTGATGTATTTCTCTGGTTTGGGATATGAAATGAGATTCTTTGCATGTCTGGTCAGCAGGTCACAGCAGGCAGCTGCCCCAAACTTAAGAGATGTGGCACTCACATTTTTTGCCCTCATGACAGACAGCTGACAAAAGATCGTGAAAGGGTAGCATCTACATTCATCATAACTTCAGTCAAATGAGGGAGGACAAACCTGGAATTAACTAAAATTAATGTGTTCCTAGACAACCCCGTTGGAGATAAAGGGTTTGGGGAAAGAACAGGGAGGGTAGTTTGATTGACTGCAAAATAGATAATCCTTCAGCAACATTCATTTGCACCTTACTGTTTTTTGCACCTTTCAAGAAATGGGTGTACCAGGTAAGTTTTTCATGCAACACAGTTTTCTGTATACAGTATTACTTCACCATAATGAGGTGTTAAATTCAGACAATGCTTTCCGTATTTCAGCAATCAATAGACATGCAGCAATAAGAAGGTAATTTGACTCCCCCATGCCCAGCAAGCCACTTCTGGGTTTATGAGAACAATGTGACTTGTTACATTTAGGAAAATCTCATTTATACAAGCACACTATACAAAGGGGTAGAAGGCAGGAAAAAAATAACACATATTTTGATAGTATGGCTAATGCAGCAGTATGAGATCATAAAATATTTGCTAGGATAACTGTACAGAAGAAATGTTTCATTTGTAATTTAGCACTTAGCAAAAGATAATGTAACTTTAATATTATTAGGGAGATGCCTCAAAAGTCTATTGGTGGCAGTGGTGTTTAACATAGACTTGTACACTGGAGAACTTCAGAATTACAACATAATTGCTAGCTGAGTTGATTCTGGAAAGTTCACCGCTTAAGAAATGTTTGCATACTGGCAAATCTCATTGTAGCGTTCTGTGTAAATTATCATGCTTCCATGCTGTGTGTTTTCCCCATTCACATTTACTCTGGATGGGTTTACTAGCACTGACCGTACACAGCTGTTTCTAGATCCTGAAGGGCATTTTGAGATTGATTAACCATCTGCTCATTCTTACTCTAACAGCTGACTAACAACAACATAAGGGAATTTGTCTTAAATAATCTACCAAAAATGTGGGCAACACAAACATTCGTTTCCCAGCAGCTGCTACCATTGGTGTTTCCGATGCCACTTTCTGTAAAAGGATTTGGATTCGATCTGAGCTTTGTGAGTTCTTCTGTACAACATAAGGTTTGAAGTAACAACAACAACAGCAGTGAGATAAGGAACCCATTCCACAAACCAGTTAAGCAAAAATATTGGATTAAAGCCATTATTGCTTCCCCCCTTTTGCTTGCCAACCCCTTGTTTTATTATTATTACTTATCCTTGATTTTCTCTACCCCTTTTTTGTTTTTTGTTTTGACTGTGTTAGTAGCTTATTATATTGTAATGTCCATATTGGGGATCAAGGTATCTCCTTGAAGCCATGCATTGTATTGTAATGTCCATATTGGAGATACCTTGAAGCCATGCAAACATTTTAACTAAGTGCTGCAGCAATAAAAACTGCCAGCACATTTGCAAAAGCAAGCAGGGTCTGGTTTCAGATTGGATGGGGAGAGGGGGGACCATGTGTTGAGATTCCTGCATCGCAGGGGGTTGTTTTTATTTTACATTATTGTTAAATTAGTGAATTAAATGCTTTCGTTTGGAATCTGTTTGCTTGCTTGCATCATGTTGCAATAGTTTCTCTTTGTGTTGTACCATTTTCCTCCCATCTCCCTCCGTCCCTCCAACACAAAACTTTTTCTGGCTTTGAGTATGCCATTTTGGTACCAAGCGTATCAGTCTAAATCTGTGGAAGGCAACGGATTACACCATTGGGGTCCATGGAGTGCCTACAACTTTTCAGATAAGTAAAGGTAAAGGTACCCCTGCCCGTACGGGCCAGTCTTGACAGACTCTAGGGTTGTGCGCTCATCTCACTCTAGCGGCCGGGAGCCAGCGCTGTCCGCAGACATGTCCGGGTCACGTGGCCAGCGTGATGAAGCTGCTCTGGCGAGCCAGCACAGCACACGGAAACGCCGTTTACCTTCCCACTAGTAAGCGGTTCCTATTTATCTACTTGCACCCGGGGGTGCTTTCGAACTGCTAGGTTGGCAGGCGCTGGGACTGAGCAACGGGAGCGCAGCCCACCATGCGATCAGCAATTCCTAGGCGCTGAGGTTTTACCCACAGCGCCACCCGCGTCCCCTCAGATAAGTAGCTGAACTATATATTGGGCTATGAAGAGATGCCCTTAGAAGAGACTGGCTACTATGCGGTTTAACTCTCTGCTGCTTCACTTAAATTGGCAATGTGGGTGTCAAAAGAGATCAGGCAGCATGTGAAGTCCTCCTAGCATTGGCTGCTAATGTGTGTGATGTCATAGGAAATGAGACGGACAGAATTGGGGGTGGGGCACAAACGCCATGGCGTATGAGAGATTTTGGAGGGCAAGCGGAGAAAAACAGGAAGCAAGCTTAGATGGAAAGGCATTGGGAGCTGTAAAGAGTGCTCAAGCACGGGGGACTGTGGAGAGGTGATTGTGATAGATGCACAGGGGCGGAGGAAGGGAGGTGCGGTGGGGGCGGGTTGCCCTGTGTGTCACCACTGAGGGGGGTGACAAAATGCCACACGGCACTCACAGTGGGGCCTACAGTGCGCCCGAGCCACGCACTGTGGGAGGAGGCAGGCAGACTCCGGAGGCCCCATTGTGCACCCTGCCCCTATGGGTGGCCTGCCCTGCCCCTGGGCGCGCCACCCCAGGCACCCAAGCGGCTTCCTCCACCGCTGTAGATGCCATCCTAGGAAAGGAATCTGGGCAGGCAAGATATAGACGGTTTATATGGCAAGGAGTATTCTTAGAAGCTAGTCACTAGTCCTAACCTTTGGGCTTCTGCTGAGTGGTGAAACCCACTCTGAAACCCCTTTGAGTTTGAGGTCTCTGGTTTAAATTCAAATGTACACAAATATTCAGTTCAAGCCATTAAAAGGAAACATCGCATGGTGCCACTCACTACAATTTAATTTAATGAAAGGCTTATTTATGGCTGGCCTCAACTTTCAGTCAACCTGACCAATGAACTTCATAAACTTGTGGTTGTCCCGGTATTTGGAGATATTGTTTGGGTTCCAGGTTACGTCCAGCCAGGCCAGGATAATTCTAGGATCCATAACAGCCATAAAAAAGTCCAAGTACCTCCGACAGGCTCGAGTCATCCACTGCCAAATATTTTCTTCATTCTGTGCCTTTTCTTGTTCTTCCAGGATACTCTTAATCCAGTCCAGAGTTGCCTGGATCTTCTGGATCTTCTTCAGTGTTCGCTTTCTTTTATATTTGGTGTGGTGTTCGATCATCTTCAGGGCCTTGGGTTGCACTTCCTTTAGCAGGGCATTGGTGTCTTCATCATAATCCCATATACAGGCTAACGCAAGGTCTTCAGCAGCTTCTTCCCAGTGACCCAAAAGCATATGTGCTTTCCCTCTCCACTTGTAGGCCTGTGCATCATCAGGGTTGAGCTCTGAAGCTTTGTTGCAGTCTCTAATGGCAGCATTGGGCTTCTGCAATTTGACAAAGACACTGGCTCGGTTGGCATACAGGAGTGGCGACTGCGGATTCAACTTGATAGCCTCTGTAAACAGATCAATAGCATTCTGCAGTTCTCCTGCCTCCAGGAAAGCATATGCCTCCTCCTTCTTCTCCTCAGCTTTGCTTTTCATATCATTTGTAACCTCCACATTTTCGTCTCCCATTTCCTGGGGTTCATCTTCATCTGGTTTGATCATTCCATCATCATCCAACTCTAAATCACTCTCCTCACTGGTAAGCTGCTCGGGTGGTTTCCCTTCCTCTTTACCAAGTCTCAGAGGAAAGGCTTCAATTCTCTGGAAACCTGAAATGGTGTCCCCCATGCTCTCCAACGAATCTCTTAGGAAGCTCAGTTGTTTTGCTCTCAAGAGCGTTGGATCCTGTTTGTACAGATTGAGCAAAGCTTGAAGGTCACCAACATTTTTAGCATCCATAGTGCCCCGTCCAGCTAGAAGCTTGGTTGACCAGCTGGATACAGTAAACTGCCTCTCTTAGGGCAAATATTTTTTAAAAAAGTAAGACTTATGTACAGACAGCGGCTGAATTAGAAAATCACTTCTATTATGGAGGAGAAAAGGGCCTCATCTCTCATGTGTCCCTCCATGTGGTCCTGCTGCTGTACTTTATCTATAGCCGCAGAACTTTGAAAGTATCAGTCGCTACGGCAGTTTGGTTTATGTCAAGTTCTGCTGATGTCATACATTATGACATCACTGCAGTGTTGAAGTTGACTTTCCAGGTATTGACAACTTAATAGTTGTTGTTGATTGTTTTTTGTTGTTTTTTAGAAAATTCTGCATTAGAATGTGTATCTATGCACATCATCCATTAGTACTGAAATAAATACAACAGAAGACATGGTTGCCAAGCTTTTGTTATCCATTTGAAGCATGGCTGCTGCAAGTTTTAATCAGTTCAGTTAGTCAGGTCATTCAACTAAGGCTTTCATACTTTCATAGTTCACTGGCTTTCATACTTTCGGGGAAGTTTATTAAGAATTCATCAGTGAGAAAACCAGCAACTCCAGGCAAGTTTCCTGAATGGTAGCTTGTCCAACATTCCACTGAAGTGTAGAACTGGAGGGCAATGTTTTGAGAGTTCTGGGATATACATCCAGTTAACTGTGTGGCCCAGGAGGCATCACCCTGTGCTTTTAAAAAACCCGTAACTCATCGAAACAACTAATAAAAAATGCCCGGTAATCCCAATGAAAGGATCCCTTAACACATTGCTTTTTTTTAATGTGCGTAAGATGTTTTGAGACTTGAAACTCTGAAGTGTGAATGTGACAAGTGCTTGCTTGCAAATATGTGTTGGGGTGCTGTGATGTCTGCAGCTGCCTATTGAGCACACTGTGGCAAACTCAGGTCTGCCTGCATATAGGCTCTATGTGAAAATATGTCTGCCTGTCTGCAAAGGAACCTGATTCCAAGTCTGAGGTTGGTGTGAGCTACCTAAGATGGTTGTCTAAACATGAAATACCAGGTCCAATGGCCACATACAAGCATATCTCCACAGTAATTTAAAAAAAAACCATCCCTAACTAGTGACGCTGACAAAGTTCAATAACAACAGGCTTTGGGTGCTTATTGTTATTGAGGCACAGGTACCTTTATCTGAAAACTCTTGCTCTGTTTGGAACTACGCTTATACCCCCACAGTGAATTCAAAATGGAAGGGAAGAAAAGAGGGGGAGCAAAACAAAAACAAAAATGAAAAAACCTAGCTCCCCCCACTCCAAAGAAGCAAGGCCTCTATCAAGTGCTAGAAAATAGAACTCTTCTAAGGTGTTGACAATGTGGTTTACACAATCAGAGTTATGTGAATCATTATAAGAGGGCAGTGGGATAAGATTGCACATGGTTTCAGCGTCCCTCAAAAAGACAACAAATTAAATTGTGTTGGGCATCATTCCCTTGGCAAACCTCTATAAAGCATTTACCGTATTTTTCGCTCTATAGGACGCACTTTTTCCCCTCCAAAAATTAAGGGGAAATGTATGTTCGTCCTATGGAGCAAATGCTGGCTCCTTGGCTTCAGCAATAGCAACGCGAAGCCTCTGAAGTCACTTGAGGCCCCCGGAGTGCAGCGGGAACTCCCGCTGCGCTCTGGGGGCTTCAGGCAACTATCCGCAAACCTTCGGAGCGCAGCTGCACTCCAAAGGCTTGCGGATAGCTGCCTGAAGCCAGGAGAGCAAGAGGGGTCGGTGCACACCGATCCCTCTTGCTCTCCAGGCTTCGCTTCGCTGGAGAGGCTCTGCACAGTTTTCCCTCTCTGCGCAGCGCCCCTTCAGCGAAGCGGGAGGAGAAATGGAAGGGGCTCTGTTTCTCCTGCTGCTTCGCTGAAGGGGCGCTGAGCAGAGAGGGGGAGAATTTTTTTCCCCTGTTCTCCCCCTCCTATGGTCCGGTGCGTCCTATGGTCCGGTGCGTCCTATAGAGCGAAAAATACGGTAAATCTTACTGTGGTTGCCTAGGTCCTCTGCTCCCTCAATTTCCTAAGATCAGCTAGCCCCAGAGGCACGGATGCAAGTCACTGGCAAGCAAACTCTCTTAGGTCACGCTCTGAAACACTTTTGATCAAAATAATGGGAGATACTCCAAAATAACGGTATCAGTCTAGAGCTGGGCTAAAATATTTGGCCGATAATTTTCCCCACAATTTGGGTTTATTTTTTGTCATGCACATGTGTGACTCTTGAGGGGGAAATCTGATTTGGGAGCACCTGAAACCTATTAATTTCCCGGTGGGGTGTAATCTATTAATTGTCAGGATGTACTATTGTTTACAAGATGAGACAAGAGATGCAGGAGGTTTTCTGCTTCCCCCTTTGACTCCAAGGGTCAATGGTGCTGCAGTCAGCAGTCTTAACAGTGTTGCAGCAATTGGAGAAGTGTGAAATCAGCCGGATAGCTACATTCCTATCAGCAGGTTGATCCAAGATTCTCGTAGGTAGGTTCCTACCAGAATCCATAAAGATCAAATTGTTCAAACTAACTCCAACTAAAGCTGAGTATAACTATGTAAAATTGAAAGCAATGTGATTCAAAGTAGCAATGACTGTTCCATTTGTTGTAATGGAAACAATAACTTAAGGTAGATTTGAGTCCATCCATTTCGGATGAGTGTTCAAATTACCCCAGGGAGGCACAAATTAATCTTTAATTAAGTTTCACTATACCTGTGAAAGTGCTTATTTAAAATCATTTATTCACTTCAACATTTGCTGTTAGCATTTTAATTCATGACTGCAGAACCCCAAATACTTACATATCCCGTTTTCTTACATTGTTTTGTTTATTTGCACTACATATGGAACTATCTCATTAAAGTTATTCATAATTTCATGACTAGTTTTGCAAAAAGGAGAGAAAGAAAATAATGAGAAAGATATTTGCATTTCTTTCTATGTGTGAGTTTATTTAGTTATCAGGCCACATGTAGCTGACCTTCAAATTAATGTTTGTGAGTGAACTTAGTTATCACATTTTTCTTTCGGTATTTGTAGATGTTTTCAGGATTCCAGACCACATCCAGGAATGCCATCATTACCCGGGGATCTAAAAGGGTAAGGAAAGATTTGAGATGTTTCCGACCTGCTCTGGCCATTTCATCCCAGGGGTTCTCCTCTCTCGGGACTCGCTCTTGCTCTTCCAGGGACAGTCTAACTCTTTCTAACCTTCTGTGAATTTCCTTTAACTCTCGCTTTTGCTCACATTTGTGATGAAACTCCTTGAGTCTCTGAAGTTTCAGTTGCACCACCTGAAGCAAAGCATGAGTTTCCTCATCACGATCAAGTTTGCAAGCCATGGTGAAGTCTTCAGCAGCTTTCTCCCAATGCCCTAGGAGCATATGAGCCTTCCCTTGCCACTTATATGGCTGTGCAGATTTCCGGTTCAGTTCAGAGGCCTTCTTACAGTCTCTGATGGCTGCATTAGGTTTCTTTAGTTTCACAAAGGTGCTTGCTCTGTTCACATATGTGACACTGGACTGGGGGTTCAACTTGATGGCATCGGTAAACAATTCAATGGCTCTTTGGAGATTGCCTTTATCAACGGCGTCAAAAGCCTCTTCCCGCTTTTCATCAGCCTGATCCATCATCTCACTGGTTAGTCTCACATTTTCATCTCCCATTTCTTGGAGAATATCTTGGTCGGGTTCAACAATCTCATTGTCCTCATCCGTTTCAACATCACTTTCATCACAGTTTGTGGCCTCAAATATCTCTTCCTCCTCAAGTACCTTTCTCCCAGAGGCACCTGTGTGAGTTTGTAATATATTCTCCACGTGGGTTCGCAATACAGCAAGCTGCCTGTCACCCACAAGCCCAGGATCTTGGCTGTATAAATTGACCAAGGCCTGAAGTTTCTTCACTCTCTTGAGGTCCATGGGAATCAGACAGGACATTTCCAAGAGCCAGCTCTTCAAAAGGGTGAAACTAGTAGCACATCATAAAGCTTGCAAATGAAACCAGTCCTTCAACCTGTACCAGCAAAGAAAAAGGGGATAAAAATTCCACCTCACAGCTTATTGTTGTCACAATCCATGTGCATTCTGATGATGTCATTGTCAGGATTGACATGGCAAGTCTTCAATCATCATAAAAAACTTCAGTTTCTTTTTCTATTGTAGTTTCAACTATATACAAGGAGGATCTATGCATGAAGCTGTTGTGAATGCAGTTCTATCTAAATATCTATCCATCCTCCACAATGGACCCATCTATGAACCTGGTACCTGGTAGCTGGGCTGAAGAGACAAATTTCGGCTGCTATTGGTACGGTTGCACTGGCTCCCTAGGCTGAGGTGGCCTCAAGTGTGATGTTGGACAACTCCAGGGCCTTGATCCTGGGTAACTTCAGCATCCATGCTGAGGCCTGCCATGTAGGGCTAGCTTGAAACTTTATTGTTTCCATGACAACTTAAGAGAGTCCATGACACTTAAGAGATGGCACTTCCATGACACTTAAGAGATTGTCTCTTCAGCTCCAATGCAGAAATTTGCAATGCATTTTTAACAGGGAGAAATGTAAAGTATTGCACTTGGGCAAAAAAAATGAGAGGCACAAATACAAGATGGGTGACACCTGGCTTGAGAGCAGTACATGTGAAAAGGATCTAGGAGTCTTGGTTGACCACAAACTTGACATGAGCCAACAGTGTGATGCGGCAGCTAAAAAAAGCCAATGCAATTCTGGGCTGCATCAATAGGAGTATAGCATCTAGATCAAGGGAAGTAATAGTGCCACTGTATTCTGCTCTGGTCAGACCTCACCTGGAGTACTGTGTCCAGTTCTGGGCACCACAGTTCAAGAAGGACACTGACAAACTGGAACGTGTCCAGAGGAGGGCAACCAAAATGGTCAAAGGCCTGGAAACGATGCCTTATGAGGAACGGCTAAGGGAGCTGGGCATGTTTAGCCTGGAGAAGAGGAGGTTAAGGGGTGATATGATAGCCATGTTCAAATATATAAAAGGATGTCACATAGAGGAGGGAGAAAGGTTGTTTTCTGCTGCTCCAGAGAAGCGGACACGGAGCAATGGATCCAAACTACAAGAAAGAAGATTCCACCTAAACATTAGGAAGAACTTCCTGACAGTAAGAGCTGTTCGACAGTGGAATTTGCTGCCAAGGAGTGTGGTGGAGTCTCCTTCTTTGGAGGTCTTTAAGCAGAGGCTTGACAACCATATGTCAGGAGTGCTCTGATGGTGTTTCCTGCTTGGCAGGGGGTTGGACTCGATGGCCCTTGTGGTCTCTTCCAACTCTATGATTCTATGATTCTATGAAGAAAGGGATTTAACCACGATTGCCTCTACCAAAAGTTCACCATGGTTCCTACTTATCAAAATGGAGCACAGCCGAGCTAGTTATTTGACAAAGCTCCCACTAGCTGTACTAAGAATCGCTTTTACAGAATTACGATTCCAATCGATGCCCTTGGCGGTGGTGGATGGTCGGTACAGCAAAGTACAGTACAAGGAGAGACTTTGTCTGTGTGGGCAACCTTGTGTAGAGGACCTGTACCACTATTTATTGCAATGCCCACTATATATAGAACCAAGAGAATGAATGGAACACATTCGAACAGGGTGGAAAGGGTGAAATGGCTGCTGAATGATACTGATGATTTCGTAACTTATAAAGTAGCACTATATGCGTTGGCAGCTAAGAAGATCAGGAGAAAAGAACTAAATAAAATAGCGGTCAATTGCAAAGGTGATTAGACATTTAAGCTGGCACATTCTGAGGACCCCTTGTTATTCTATCATATGCAACAAATAATTTTTAGGAGACGTGATCGTGGTTTATTGTATCTGCAGTGCCTGATGTTTTTATGGTTTTTATGGTTATTGTTGCTTTTCCTTTTGTTCCCTTTGGGAATGATGCCATGGCCTTTGGCTAGCGCAATAAGGTTTATGGTGATGATGACAACTATGGGGCTGTCTCGGTTTCATTGATCCAACATATAGGACAGGTCACACATTCAATCTAGTCTTCAATTCAGGGTTGCAGCATGGTAGTCTGTGTGCTGCCTTGCCCAACCCACTGCCATGACTCTGCAAGGTGGAGGTGGTATTTGTTACCTGTCTTATCCCAGTCCAACTTGTATTCCTATTATTATTTGATAATTGTGAACTACATTTGGAAATTAATATAACACTGTCACCACCACTTCATGCATTGGCCTTGTAGGAATGCTTGGATACTGTCTACTCCAGATGCTATGGTTGAAGAGACTAGTTTCACAATTAACCCATATGGGCCAGTGACTTCACCTAATGGTGGGGAAAATCTTGAGTATTGAAGTGTGTGTAATCATTTTCCAAAGCAGAACGAGACTTGCATTTATACATATGATGCCTATTTTAATATAATTGAAATAAGGAAAGTAGAGCTAGATAGCATGGCAGAGACATGATCATCAATGATATCTGTATATTTATTTACTTTCCACACAGGTATTCAAGATATCTAACAACATGATAAAATTAAAATGCTACAATAACATTATACGATTTCAAATAGATTTAAGCCAAAACAGAAGTATACTCAAGATAAAAACAAGAACAGCAGGATCTCTGGATACACCAGAAAAATAATCTGTTAAAAGTGATATGCCTTCATCATATATGATAGACATGTCCCTTTGCGGGGAAAGTATTGAAGGAGAATAAACACTTTAATGGAAAAAATCCTTGGTTTATAAGTCTTGATCCATTATTTTTTAAAGTGAACACTGAGAACATGTTAACAGCTGCTAGATTGATATATCCTAGGTACTAGAAACCATCCAAAGTACCAAATTGAAAAGAACGGATCATAAAAATGTGGCATCTTGCAGCCATGACCAAAATGAGAAAAGAAAATAATGAAAAATGGGACTACTTTTTTGATAGATAGACAGCATTTATCAGATTTTGTACACTATAACTGCATACTTTATATCTTTATTTTAAATGTCTGTAATGAATTATTTGAATACAGTTGGATTATTAGCTTTTATTTAGTTAATTTTGAAATATGTAGACCAACACACACATACCCCACAGATACTGGAACAACCATGAGACTAAATCTAACTTGTGGTAATCTCTTCTGACATAGGGAACATATCAGAATTCCCCAATCATAATAAACTCCCCCATGCCCAGCTCAACAACAACACATGAAAAAGAAGATCCAGTCTTTGACCTGCCAGATGTGTTGGACCAAATAAATCCTGAAATAGGCTCATGGTAGTTCTGTAGGCCAGGAAATTCTGAGGTGCACCAGACAAGTAAGCTCAGGCATAGGCAAACTCGGCCCTCCAGATCTTTTGGGACTACAACTCCCATCATCCCTAGCTAATAGGACCAGTGGTTAGGAATGATGGGATTTGTGGTTTCAAAACATCTGGAGGGCCGAGTTTGCCTATGCCTGAGTAAGCTTCAGCATGGACCTTGAAATCCTTCAGGATAATAAGAATGGAGGTTTTCAACACCACAGTCAAGACCACATCTGTCAGCTCATGAAGGGAGGCAGCAGTGTGGGTTAGACGTTAACAGAATCCCTACCAAACTGATTCATGTCTTTTTTTAAAAAAATGTACACCTTAGTTATATGCTTCATCGAAGATTTGCAAAAGATTATTACACAATTATCTCACTCTGAGGCCAAACAATGGCTATACATAAAATGCATAGAGATCAAGAAATATTGCTATTCATATTGAAACTCTTTTGATATACTATGAAATTCCTCCGATGTCTTGCCTGACAAAACCCCTTCTAATTAGCTTCATGCTTCAATTTACGTGACATTTTCTGAAATCCTATAGATCTGCAGAAGCTAGATTGTACTGAACTAATTGTGGCTTCACTTGAAGATCCTCTTCTGCTTCACTGGATGAGAAACTACATTTGGTTCAGCTTTCACTTCAGGTTCAATGTTGATGGTGATTCTATAAGCAAACTCACACCACCAGAGGGAGACTTCAGGATGACGTACTTTAGCTGGGTAAGAAGTGTAGACTGCATATTTTCTATCAGAAAGTGTTGCTTGCATGACAATGCGGGAATATTTGGGAGAAATTAATAAGAGTCACATGAGTAAAGGAACAGGAGTACCTCTATACAGTGGTACCTCTGGATATCAACGGGATCCGTTCCAGAGCCCCATTCACATCTAGAAGCAAAGGTAACTAGTGATGGCACGTCTGCACATGCGCGCGTCTCTTTTTGCCGCTTCTGCGCATGCGCGTGATGTCATTTTGAGCGTCTGCATATGTGCAAGCGGCAAAACCTGGAAGTAACATGCTCCGTTACTTCCGGGTTGCCGCGGAGCGCAACTCGAACGCGCTCAACCTGAAGCACATTCAACCCGAGATATGACTGTACAACTGGGAGTAGGATTTCAAGATTTGGGAGTCTGACATAAAGCATCAGTGTTTTAACTTTCTTATGGTCCTCAAGAGAAAGGGTGATATTTCAGGGTGGAAAGAGAGAATCAAAGAGACAAGCTTTTGAGTTTGGATTGAGAGTGTCAGATGTTTGCTGTGCCCCTGTGTCCACGCTTAGGCACTGAAGCTAGGCTTTCCTTGGGATGGTCCAGCTAACATCTTCTGCTCCATATGCCTTAGACCCTATCCATATAGGCTCTACCTTCTAATTTAGCATTCACCACCCCATAATTCCCAGGTTCCACTGCCAGAGTTTCAGGGTCTAATATGCTGGAGAGACCCCATCGCCCACTAGGAGAAAGCAAGTCAAAACAAACTAAGACAGCAGTGTGAGATCCTTTGAGATACTTCTTGATAGAACAAGGTCTTAATTTACCTAAAGAGTTGAGAATATTAAAAAAAAAATTAAATTAATTTTCAAAACAATGTGTGATTCTTCAGAATACAATGTTATCAAACAGGATTTGACCACAATATACATAGTCCATATACAATTATAAAATAAAACCAAAATAAATAAACCACATGTATGTGAATGCATGGAAGGTAGCGACTAGAACCATTT